GCAGGGCAACCGGCATCCGGCCACCGTCTGCCATTCCTTCTTCTTCGGCGACAAAGGTTATCGACGAGTTCAAATACTTGTAAGTCACTGTTTTTTGGGTTATCTTCTATCTCGATTTTTTTGGTTTTCTTTTTCATGGGTTAGGGCTTCCTCGATAAGATCTCGCAACTCATCCATTACCTTCAACTTGTACATTTGTTATGCTTTTTATTCATGTTCAACTTGTACATTTGTTATGCTTTTTATTCATGTTCGATGGTGATCCCCAAAAACATCAAGTTTTCAATAGAAACCCGTACCTGAAAATTTGAAATCCATGGATAAGCGACGTCGAGGAAGAGATTCGGACCTGGGTTTGCTTTGTTGGTGGGAGATCGGTGGAGAGGGAATGTAACAACTTAATAAGAGTCATAAGGGTAAATTAGGTAGTTTGGGTACTTTAAGAGAAGCAATTCTAATAATACTCGCTTAATCCGTGCGTGCATACCAACCTCCGTTATCTTTTAACGTTTGGAGGGTTACGCGCAACGTTTCTGAAAACACAGGAGAGAACTACGCAATTTTTAAAGTACATGGGAAATGACGCTAAGTTTCCAAACCACGGGGGATGTAAACAGTTTTGCCAAATTTTTTATTGTTAGGATTTACTATATATAAAAATAAAAAAACACAATCCTGGACATAAAGAAGGATAACAATTTATATTTGCAAATAAAATATAAAAAAATATGATATTAAAAAATAAAATCTACTATAATCAAATTGTATATAAGAGTTCTTCTATAATGGATGTAAATACGTCATATTCACCACTATATCAACCAATAAAATTAAAAAATTTAACAAAAATTAAGATAAAGAAAACGAACCAAAGAAATATATCATGTTTTATAAAACTATAGTTGAACTACAAACATATGATCGCAAATCTCACTACTGTATTAAAAATACAACGAGTTATGAACTATCTCTGAAAATTTATCTTTGATCAGACAGTTAATGAAGACGTTTTTCGATATTCTTCTTGTGATCTTCGTATTCTTTTTATAATTATTATTTTATGTGTTTTATTTATAAAATAATCAAATAAAATATATTAGTATAAAAACGATAAATCTTTTAAAAATATAACTAAAAATTTTAAAATCAAATAATTTATAAAATTAAAAGTAAGCATAAACTTTAATTCTATCCATATTTTATTATTTATTACTAATCCACAGATTAAAGTTTCTTTTCAATAAATATGAAAAAAAATCAATTTTGGTCTCAATATAAAAAACTCATCAATTTTAGTCACAATTTAACAATTTCAATCAATTTTGGTCCCACCGTTAAAAAACTAACGGAAATTGATGCCGTGAACATAACTGAGGTGACGTGGCAGTTGATCTGGAAAGTACACGACCTTGTACAATTAAACACGTTGTTACATGGCTATGTATATTTCAGTGTATAATTATACATGGCCATGTTGCTACACGGCTATGTACAATTATACACGGCCATGTACATTTCTGTTTTAGTCTAAAAGTTTATTATTTTTATTATATATATATTTTTAAAAAATATTATTTTGAATTTAAAATAGTTGATATAGTTAAAATGGACAAAATCAATAGTAATCATAATATAATTAAAATTTATCAATTTTAATTCAAATATAAAAGTTTATAAGATATATTCTTGAAAAGTTTTGTCTAAAATTCTGTTATTAATAAAAAAAATTTCTCTCACAAACGTCCAGTTACACAATTATTTTTTAATTTTTTATATTATAGTACGTATTAAAAATTAATTTATTATCTCAGTACACTAATTCAATGTTTGTAAGAGAATTTTTTTGGTAAATAGTAGAATTTTAGACAAAATCTTAAAAAAGAATATACTCGATAAATATTTATATTTGAACTAAAATTGATATGTTTTAATTATATTATGGTTATTATTGATTTTTTTTTTCCATTTTAATTATATCAACTATTCTAAATTCAAAAAAATAAATATAAAAAATATAACAAAAATATAAAATTTTAGACAGAAACAGAAAGGTACACGGTCGCGTAGAATGATACATGACCGTATAACAACATAGTCATGCATAATTATACACTGAAGTATACATGGTCATGTAACAACACGACCGTATATAATTGTACACAGTCATGTAACAACATTGCCATATATAATTATACACTAAATATACATGACCATATAACAACATGGCCGTGTATAATTGTACATAACCGTGTATAATTGTACATGGCTGTTTACTTTTCAGATCAACTGTCACATCAGCAATTTTCGTTAGTTTTTTAAGGATTCACCAAAATTGATTGAAATTCTTTATAATTAGACCAAAATTGATTGAAATTGTTTATATTAAAACTAAAATTGATGAATTTTCTATATTTAGATCAAAATTAATAAATTTTGATTATATTGAGACGAATCTTTTCCCTTTCAATAAATATATATATTATATCTTATAAATACGAGTTTGTACGGATCTGCCACTTGAAAAGTCTATCTTGCCCCTCATTTTAAAAATGACAATTTAGCCCTTAACCTACCTTTGTACTGGCTTGAAAATACGTTTTGGAACCGTCGTCAGCAACCGCCGTCAACCGCCCAAGACGAAACGTTTTGGAACGTCGTCTGGTCGATTACATCAACCGCCTCGCCAAACGCCTCCACCAGTTCCAGAACTCAAATAGCCCACCCAACCAATCCAGAGACCAATCGGTAGACCAAAATACTCCTTGGCCGCACCCACCAAGTGACCTGTCTATCCGCCTGCGGACCAGCTGACTTGCCTATGCGACCGCAGACCAGCCGACCTACTTTATCCGACCGCAGACCATCAGAAATGTCTGTCCGACCTTCTGACCATCTGACCATCAGACCTGTCTGTCCGAACGCTAACGATCCGACCGAGGACCAACCGACCAGATCAACCGACCGAGGACCTTCCGACTTGCCTATCCGACCGCTAACCAACCGACCTGATCATCCGACCGAGGACCAACCGACCAGACCAACCGACCGAGGACCTTCCAACCTGCCTATACGACCGCTAACCAACCTACCTGACCATCCGACCAACCGACCTGAGCGCAAATTTTTCTCATTTTCCACCCGACTTCGTGTCTAACTTCCTTTAAGATCCTGCTATCCTTATTTTTTTTTATTATTATTATTTGTGCGTAACAATTATCAAAGTTGAAATATCATTGCTATTTTTGACATTTCAAAACTCATAAAGAGATGCATGGTCACCCTTCTTATCTCAGTCTACCCGTCTGCGGACTAGCTGACTTGCCTATCCGACTGCAGACCACCATCAGACCTATCTGTCCGACCGCTAACCATCCTACCGAGGACCAGCCGACCGTACCAACTGACCGAGGACCTTCCGACCTGCCTATCCGACCGCTAACCAACCGACCTGATCATCCGACCGAGGACCTTCCGACCTGAGCGCAAATTTTTCTCCTTTTCCACCCGACTTCGTGTCTAACTTCCTTTAAGATCCCGCTATCCTTATTTTTATTTTTATTATTATTATTTTTTGTGCGTAACAATTATCAAAGTTGAAATATCCTTGCTATTTTTGACATTTCAAAACTCATAAAGAGATGCAGGGTCACCCTTCTTATCTCAGTCTATCCGCCTGCGGACCAGCTGACTTGCCTATCCGATCGCAGACCAGCCGACCTACTTTATCCGACCGCAGACCATGAGACCTGTCTGTCCGACCGCTAACCATCCGACCGAGGACCAACCGACCAAGGACCTTCCGACCTGCCTATTCCACCGCTAACCAACCGACCTGATCATCCGACCGAGGACCTTCCGACCTGCCTATCCGACCGCTAACCAACCCACCTGACCATTCGACCAACCCACCTGACCAACCGACTTAAGCACAAATTTTTCTCCTTTTTCACCCGACTTCATGTCTAACTTCCTTTAAGATCCTGCTATCCTTATTTTTATTATTATTATTATTTTTTGTGCGTAACAATTATCAGAGTTAAAATATCGTTGCTATTTTTGACATTTCAAAACTCATAAAGAGATGCAGGGTCACCCTTCTTATCTCAATCTATCCGTTTGCGGACCAGCTGACTTGCCTATCCGACCGCAGACTAGCCGACCTACTTTATCCGACCGCAGACCAGCCGACCTACTTTATCCGACCGCAGATCATCAGACCTGTCCGTCCGACCGCTGACAATCCGACCGAGGACCTTCCGACCTGCCTATCCCACCGCTAACCAACCGACCAGACCAACCGACCGAGGACCTTCCGACCTGCCTATCCGACCGCTAACCAACCCATCTGACCATCCGACCAACAGACCTGAGCGTAAATTTTTCTCCATTTCCACCCGACTTTGTATCTAACTTCCTTTAAGATCCTGCTATCCTTATTATTATTATTTGTGCGTAACAATTATCAAAGTTGAAATATCCTTGCTATTTTTGACATTTCAAAACTCATAAAGAGATGCAGGGTCACCCTTCTTATCTCAATCTATCCGCCTGCGGACCAGCTGACTTGCCTATCCGACCGCAGACCATCAGACCTGTCTGTCCGACCTGCTGACCATCAGACCTATCTGTTCGACCGCTAACCATCCGACCAGACCAACCGACCGAGGACCTTCCGACCTGTTTATCCCACCGCTAACCAACCGACCAGACCAACCGACCGAGGACCTTTTGACCTGCCTATCCGACAGCTAACCAACCCACCTGACCAACCGACCAGACCAACCGACCGAGGACCAACCGACCTGACCAACCGACCTGAGCGCAAATAATTCGATTGTATTTTTGTTTTACAGTTTATATTTCAAATAAATAATATTTCACTACATTACATTATAGAATAGTCGCGCGGTATACCGCGCAAGAGCGTGTTCTAGTATATATATAAATATAAAGTAAAGGTGCAGAATGTCGATTCATGCTGACAAATATGAAATCTTATAATAACAACCGTCGTTTCCCTCTTTCTTTTCCAAAATGAGTTCAGTTATTTTTAGTAAGAAAGACGGAATGAGATGAACGAAGAGAGGAAATAGCAGAAAAGTTCGGCAACGGGACGATCAGAATTCAGCGCACAACTTCAATCGGAAAAGATGTTCTGGTTCGTACTTCGGATCGGATATGAGAGGAGCTAGTGTGCGGATTTCGTTCAACTTTCGCCTTGATCCTTTTGGTTGCAGGAACCAACTGGTTAAGGCAGTCGAATTATACATCCGCACGTTGTAATTCTGCACGAGTTCAGGTTTCACTTGGGCGGAGGAGAAGTTTGTTTTCATTAAAGATGAAGGTAATGGATGAGTTCCGAGATCTTATCGAGGAAGCTAAGACTCGGACGCTATTGTGGATTTTGTGTATATTTGGAGTGTCGTATTTCTTTGCACGTAAGCTCTTTACCTACGTTTTGTTTACTTGTTTCGATTATTATCGATTATCATTATTTTTATTATTGTTATTATATTCAGATGAGATATCTTCTCAACGCTGCGGTTTTTCATTTTGTTTTCTGCGTTGCGCATGCATTACCGTTTTATTGAGCAATAAGATAGTTTAGAAGCACTAGTGTTTCGCTGGAATGGGGATGTAGCGTTTGATTTCAACGTAACCTGGGAAATGTTCATTTCGTCCGTTTTGCATTTCGTGTATTGGTTTATCCTAGGGTTTAATCGCAGTATCCTTTTTTTTTTTTCACTTGGGGTTAATCTCGTTTCCAGTTGTTCTGAATGGACAAGATGCTTTGAAGTGTGGTAGATTTGGAGGAATTTGAAAACTTTAATTTTGTAGCTTGAAGTTAAACATTTTAGTTAACGTCTCTTCCCTGCTTGTTTATGTTACTTAAGTCAGAAGTTTAATCAGAACCAGCATGATTTTCATTTCATATGTTTATTTTGGTTAAGTGTAACTATGGCCATGATGATAATGAGCCAATAATCATCATATTTAAAATTATATATATATATATATATATGTTGTTCTATTGTCATTTACTATAAAGCTGATCGTTACTCTGTTTATGTATGTTACTGCAGATACTAGTAAATCAATGCTAATGAATGTTCCCATAGCCATTCTTTTTGTTTCTGGACTACGAATGTTGTTTAAGGAGGTGGAATTCAAGTGGAAGGATAGAAATATTAACCAAACAACTTATTTGTCCTACTTAGAGAAAAAGCAGCTCTCAGTGAATGATTCTCGTCTCAACTGGCCCAACCCACAAAAATGGAAGAGGAAAATAGATTCCCCTGTTGTAGAAGCAGCTTTAGAAGAATTTGTCAACAAAATTTTAAAGGATTTTGTCATAGATTTGTGGTATTCAGAAATTACATCTGACAAAGAAGGACTAGAGCTTATACATGATATAATCATGGATGTCCTCGGGGAAGTGTCTGGAAGAATCAAAGAAGTGAATCTTATCAACCTCTTGACAAGGTAGTATTTTTCTATGTCTAAGTAATACAAGTGTAAAATAGTTGATGGGATGATTAGTTAAAGCTTTTTCTTCCTCCTATTTAGGGATGCAGTGGAACTGATAGGAGATCACCTAGATCTTTTCAGAAGAATTCAGTCTGCGATTGGCAAGGATGTCATGGGAACACTGTCTTCTGAAGAGCGGGATGAGAGGTTGAAGCACCATCTCCTGGCCTCTAAGGAGCTCCATCCTGCTTTGATATCTCCCGAGTGTGAGTACAAGGTGTAGAAGTGTTCTGCTTCAGATAACATTTTCACACAACCATTTTAGTCTTTATTTTGGGTGACATATGATCCTTGTTAAATATAGGTAATTCAGCAGCTTGCGGAAGGTGTTCTAGCTATTGTTTTAAGACCAAGAGAAGCTCAATGCCCTTTAGTTCCATATTTTGCTAGGGAGATCCTAACTTCCTTCGTTCTGCAACCTATTATGAATTTAGCTAGTCCGTGGTGAGATGCTATTCCTTCTAGCTCCTTAGCTCCTCATTATAACACAGCTATTTCGGAATAGCACACCACCTAGCTCCTTTTCATACATTTTCATCTAATATTAATAATTAACTCTTGCACTTGCCTTGCCTGAGTAATCGGTTTTATAAATCTATGCTTGGCGCACATGAGTAACTGTTTCAATTAAATCTGTCAAAATACACAATTATATTACATTTTGACCCATGCATGCAAAGGAAAACAGGATTAGCTTTTACAAGCCAGTTACAAGGTTCTCTATTCTTATTTTCACACATGCCCTTTCCCACCTGTGAAACATTCATAAGTTATATCTTCAGATTCTAGTCGCACACTTTTAGATCATAAAGAGTACTAATTACACTTGATCCAGAGTTTTGCTTCTACTCATGATTGCTTCAATGCAAGCATTTGTAAATCATGAGAAATATATTATCTTGAACAGTTACACTAACAACATGAGACTTAAATCTTTGTGAACTACAATACCTTAAACCTTAAGCGTTGATACGCTTCCATTTTTATAGGGAGGTAAGTATAGATGGGTTGTAGTTATTTATAATGAGATCTTTCTTGTTCATACAATTTTATAAATCCTCTACTCTAGACGCTGTCTCGCTTGCTTACTGAGAAAAGCTATTTCTTCTTGAATCAATGTAAAGTAAAGTTTAGCAAAGCAGTGGAACTGGCATTAAAATTTTCATGATCTTGTTTGCGTATCTCGTATCTGGCTTGTTTGTATTTTCCCACCACACTTTTTTGTGTGTACCGGTGTATTTATGCAGCTGCTTTTAGTCTATGGTTCATTTGTCCATGAGATCGTTTGAATTTCTTAAGGTTGCTCATTGTCCTGATTTTCTTCTATCAGCTTAACTTGTAGTTGTCTCTGTGATTAAAAATTTGTCTTCTTGTCTTTTTCCAATCTCATGTCAAGGTATATCAACGAACTGATCGAGTATATCATCTTTGCTTACAACAATAAGTGGCTCGAGTGTTTTCTCAGCAGTCAGCTGCTTAAAGCTGAAAGGTATAACAGTGATCATACAGTTTCTGGAGAGCATGGCTCGAATGAACAAGCAGGTGAAGCATCTAATAAGGAACTAGATTCAGGTGGCTTAGGGAATGCCTCCTCTAGCACCATGCAGGATGAGCCCATACAACCGCAGCCTGGTGAATGGGCGAAAGTGTATGAGGCAGCAACCCAGAGAAGAACCGAAGTTCTTATGCCCGAAAATCTTGAAAATATGTGGGCCATAGGAATAAAATATAAAAAGAGACTCCAAAAGAAGGCTGTTCCAGAACTTCAAGCCCCTGAAGTTGCAAACCCTGTGAATGTGGCATTACCTACAAAATATATGATGCCTGAAACACCAAAGGGGCAGACTGGAACACCAAAATGGATGCCTGAAACATCCCATGGCATTGAAGATAAGCCTTGTAAGCAGTTTCTGCCACAGCTCCAACAAGATTCTCATCCTATTGATGTTCGCAATGATTCCTTAGCTAGGTCACAGGATTTTAACTTGAAGGCATTCAGAGTGGGAAGCTCCAGTATTCCAGAAATGGAGAATACTGCTAGTGTTGTGTTGCATGAAAATGGAAGTAAAGTTAACAGGTCAAATAGCTATTCTGATTCAGAAATTCACTTCCTCATGGATAATATTTACAAGTAAAAGCAGTTCACCTGTCAATACTGAAGCATGTAATGCAGATAATAAACTTGATGTGCACAGATTGAAAAGCAGTTCAGATGCACTATTACACGGTGAAGATCTAAATGTTTCAAAGTTGAGATGTCAGGTTAGAAACCAATATTCCTTTGCTGGTGTGTGAAGTTTAAATCTCTTTTAACATTGCTTTCTACATAAAATATTGTAGTTATTCGAGACAAAAAGTTTCATGCTCTTGGTTCAAATAATTTCACTTTTATCTGTCATTTATATAATTTTCACCATGAAAAGTATGTCTTCACAACTTACTTTCTTGATGATTTTGTTAGTTAACTTGCATATACAATGTTTTTTCCATTCACAATGGATTCTTGTAATGGTTTTTTAAATGGCTTCTTCATAAAGTTAATTACATCATTTCTGTACTTGCACCACTTGCTTGTTTGTACATTAGAGCTTCAATTAAAAGAGAATGCTTGCATCATTATTATTACCTTGATTAGTGGTTTCTGGAGATATACTGTGTCTTTTCTGATTATTGGTCCTTAATTCTTCAGGTTATGGGGGCTGACTTCGAAAAACTTGGCTCAAATACTTTTGCAGTTTATTCAATTGCTGTGATTGATGCAAACAACAACACTTGGATTGTGAAAAGAAGGTTCGACTTTAAGGCACTTTTCATTGAACATATAACAAATGCTGCTTTATTTGGAACGTATGTCATGATGTTTATGTACTTTGAGTGCATTTCTGTGAGGACATCCATGGTCCATTTGACATGAAAGTGTTTTTCTTATTATATCAGGATTTATGTAGCTGTGCAGGCCTTTTTATCCTTCATTTCTGATATTTTGTCTACAGATATCGTAGTTTTGACCGATTGCATAGGCACCTTAAAGAAATTCCGAACTACACATTACATTTACCACCAAAGAGAATATTCACTTCAAGTACAGAGGGTGCTTTGGTTCATGAGCGCTGTATTCAGCTAGACAAGTACCTTCAAGTATGGCTATACCTACTTATGGCAATAGCACATTTATTTATTTATTTAGATGTATTGACATTTTTGCCTTTGGTACAGGATCTCTTGGCAATTCCCAATGTTGCAGAGCACATTGAAGTCTGGGACTTTCTGAGTGCTACATCTGAGGTGTGCCTTAAACATTTCTGTTGAAAGCACATTAATAGTTATTCTGTATTAGTTAATTGCTTGTTTTTACTATCAATGAAGAATTACTCTGTTGGGAAATCATCTTCTGTGGTGGCGACAATGGCAGGTATGTCACTTATTATAATACCATTTTGGTGACATTTTCTAGTCATTACTTGGAGTTCATCAGGTACTTGGTATAAAAAAATCAGAAATCATTGGAGTGGGATATCTACATGGTGCTTCTACTTGTCTCATTCTGTAATGAAGGATTAGGAGACATTGATATGTGTCCTCTAGATAAAGCATATGTCTGAATTTGCAATTTATACCCAAGTTGTATGGATGGTTGCTAGTATTCTGGGTTACTTTCAAGATACACTAGGACTTAAGTGTGTTTAATCCGGCTAACTAGTTATTCCCTACTTACAGTGATATTTTAGTTCCGCGTGATTCTATAGTAATTCAAAATGCTTTCAATGTGGATTGTTTAGAAGATTAGGTTAAATCATGGTTGAAGATGTTATGGTGATTTATTGTTCCTTGAGAAAAAAAAAAATATAGAATAAATTTTATGCATACCTGGAGCTTTACACATTTCTTGTTATGTTATTGAACCTTTTAAACAATGGTATTAAAGTTCTACCTACCGGATGTCATAATTATTTTGATGTTTTTCTCTGTCAAAACAGTTAATGTGGATGGAACCATTGATGATGTTGTGCGCCAATTCAAAGGAGTTTCTGATGGTCAAGTACGGATGGCGGCTTTCTCACCTACTTCTTCCCGATCTACCAGCAGAAACTCATCTTGGAATGCTGATGATATAAACAAATTGACCACAAGGCAAAGCACCTCTGATTCACTCAATAGTTTGTCTGACAATGAGGAAGGTGATAGGGATTTAAACGATGGACACCAGGAAACTGAGTATTCTCATCTAGAAAATTCAGATACTGAATTGAAGGAGGATGCAACACGTGTGCTTCCAGAGGTATTTTGTATGTTAGTAGAGAACTTTTTACTACCAGCTGTTTGTTTGTACATTTATTTTTTCGCCTTACTCTTTTGACTCTATTGTTTTTACAAAAGATCCTTTAACCTACTTAACTGAAATCAATGGCAATTGCCTACCCGTTTTTGTCAAACAAAGCATTTCTTTACAAACAAACACATGATCACACTCTTTAACTTTTTTCTTCTGCGAATCCCTTCCTTGAGTTTTCGATTAGTATCACTTGATGCCATCTTTCTTTATGCGCTCTATTTCATGATGACTTGTTTCCTAACATTCCATCAAGTTTGGAGGACATGGATATATGCTCTTTTATATGGTTGATCCATTTAGTACACTGTATAGAATATAATGATACTTAATGGCTATATCAAGTAACTAATGTTGAGCTAAGCATATTTAAGTAAGAAATTATTTGTAAGCATGAATCTGCTGATCATTTCAGTGAGTATTGCATGATTTTTTTTTTTATGCTTTATCTAGTGAAGATATTATTTTCCTTGCAGTGGGCCCCACCGAATTTAAGTGTTCCAGTTCTGAACTTAGTTGATAAAATATTTCAGCTTCAAAGAAGAGGTTGGATAAGGTGATTTAGTCTAATTTTCAGATTCACCTGTGCATTTCCTTTCAGATTTACACTTAATTGTCTGGACGAAGTTTTTTAAAGCATTATATATATTGGCCTGTATACATTATGTTTGAACAAATTTCTAAGAGATTGATTATGTGATTCTTTGAGATAAACATTCCTTTGCGTTTTCCGTTAATGACTGAAGTTTATACTTTCTCATCCTCCTACATGACTTAGGGTGTTATTGTGAATTTATCTTCAAATTTATTTCATTGCACACCAGATGTGTATTTTTCTTGCTAGTTGTAATGGCATTTGACATGTTGGAAACATCTGAATCTCTATTTTTCTTTTTTTTTAGTTTTTTTATCGGTACATCTGAATCTATTTTGACCAACTATACAGTTGATGATTGTGTTTTTATGTATGTTCTATTTTCCTTTTCTAATGCTCTTTCAAGGATGGCAATGTTGTGCTGTCTAAGAAAGGATTGAGATATTGCTAATGATGCTGTTTTATAAGCCATGCTGTGAATTAAGGCTTGATAACGCCCTGCATAGGCATTATTGATAGAAGATTCTACAATTGAGACATGAAGATTGTTCTTGTACAACATGGATTTTGGTACTATGATAATTTTGTAATTTGAGCTGCACGCAAGACAATTTAATGTCAAAATCTCTGCCTTCGTTGCTGAATCAATTTTTGTAAATTTTCAGTTAGGATTGAACCTTAAAGGATATTATGTGGAACCTTTTCAATTTGTTTAGAACAAAGCAGATGTCCTGATTGTTGATCAGAATTCTGTTTCGTATAAAAGTTTGACTGTGATCTGAACTAGCAGCTGTCCTCCCACACTTGTCTTCATCCTTGAATTTAGTGGTTATTATATTGTTGATATTCCAAGCCAGGACAACGAATAACATATCTTCTATAACCAACAGTTAGTCTTAAGACTACATGGGTTTGAATATCACAGATAGGGTCGATATTCGTCTATTCTGACATTGTTAGTCGAAAGCTTATCTTCTAGTTTATATCAGATATAATAATTTGTTCGTGCATGAACGTAGAAAAGCTTGAAATCCTTCATTTGAGTCCAATAAAAGTTGAACCACTGACTGTGTACAGATTGTCATGCATTATGAATTTCTTACTTAATGGCAGGAGACAAGTCTTTTGGTTATCAAAGCAGATACTGCAGCTAGTAATGGAAGATGCTATTGATGACTGGCTCTTACGGCAAATCCAATGGCTTCGTCAAGATGATGTTGTGGCCCAAGGGATTCGATGGCTTCAGGGTGTAAGTTTCTGGGGTAGAACTTATAAATTTTTTAAAGGTTGTAGGGCCTTGACTTGTTTCAAGAGCATCGGATACACTGGTTTCGATAACACTTTGTTTTCTCTTCAGATCCTTTGGCCCAACGGAAATTTCTTCCTGACTTGGAGCACCCAAAATAAACTGAAAGGTAGTGATGTATATCAAAATCCAACACTACGATGCAGGATCGCCTCTCAACCAAGGTCTTTCGAGCAGCAGCTCGAAGCTGCTCGCAGAGCTAGTGATATTAAAAAGCTAATCTTTGGTCAGTAATCCTGCTATTACAGTTTTGATCCTGCAGATTGTATACGGTGTGTTTTATCTCTATTTTGCAATTGACAGATAGCGCTCCAACGGCTTTAGTGAGCCTGATTGGGCACAAGCAATACAAACGTTGCGCTCGGGACCTATACTATTTCCTTCAGGTAAAGCGGTCCTACCTACTAATTCCTTCCGACCTCATTGGTTGTGTTTTGACTGTGTCTCTGGAGGATTGATGATCATGCATGCTATTGGCTCTAATGCCTGGAATTGCAGTCTACAGTTTGTCTGAAGCAACTTGGATATGGATATCTGGAACTTGGTCTAGTCACAGTATTTCCAGAATTACGCAATATCGTGATGGATATCCATGAAAGGAATGCATAGAAGAAGAAGAAGAAGAAGAAGAGAGAGATGGTGAGTGTGTTTGCTGGTAGGTTCGTGCATATAGATAAATAGATAGATAGATGCTGCATACTGCAAATAAATACCCGTGGAGAAATTTTCGTGCATGTTTTAGGTTTATGCTCTTCTCCGGGTAAAGATCCGCCAGAATTTTGTTAAATATAGTTATACAGATAGTAGGTATGGATGGTATTATTGTATTGGTAATAGAAAATAGATATGCATGGTACTGGGAAGGGAATTGGTCCAGATATACGAGTAGAGAAATAAATATATAGATATTAATAGGGGATGTATTTGTACTAGTGCATGTGTTTGAATACTTGCTTATTGATCCATTTATCTATTAGTCATAAAATGTTAAATCCATAGAAAAACTCAAAATATACAAACAGTTACAGAAAGGGTCCCAATCAAAAGTTACTAATTTTCAGAATTTGGCCCAACACTTCAAATTCTGAAACAATTTGATTGGACTGCGCGAATTAAATTAATGACCTAATATTGGCAAGACAAAAATTGAATCATTATACTTTTATTTTTCATAAATATTTATTTGTTAATATATTTATAAAATTATTTAATTTAAAATATATTTAATTTATTAAATCAGACTAGGCACGTTCTGACTTTAAAAAATTAAGTTTGGCCCAATTCATCATCGTGCCGGACTGATACTGTTTGAAAGTTTTCAGATCTAAGTTTTTAAACCCAAGTATAATTTTTTTCGTACTAAGTTTGGATCGAAGTTTAGAACCATGCCTATTTTTGTCATCTTTAAGAGAAACATGAGGATAAGTCCTATTACCCACTTGGTAGGATGGAACGACGCCCTGCTGGCTAAGCTCATGTGGTAGTTAGAGAATCCATAATACGGATGGATGTCCTGGAAGAGAATGTGGGTCAAGTTTTGGACAGTTTTTCGAACCAACAACAAGATGAAGGCAAAATTGAAAGCTACACTCTTTGAGAAAATTGCTAAATTGCTGGAAGAGTTGTTAGCTTGGATAGTCCAAGAACGAGAAGAATATTGCACTATGCAACGTGACATTGGTGGGTGGTACCAAGGTACGAGAAATGTTGCACATTCTAGGCTTAGAACCTCCGAAGTATATGGGTAAGTGTCGTTAAAGAACTTGATAATTTCTTTTGGTCTTTTAAAACCTACATAGATATAGTGGGTGCGAGAAATAACAAAGATAAGATCAAAACAACAATCTTATACCTTGTGGATAATGCAATATTGTGGTAAAGAAGGGTTCTACAACGACATTACATGAGGGACAACCTGGATATATGATGATAAGAAATTTTCCTTTAGTTATGAATTTAGTATGAAAAAGTGTGGAATGTGTGTCAAGATGTCGCATTGTAGCCCAAAAGCTTTTGATCAAATAATAGATTTTTCTTATATTAACCGGTGAATGCCAACTCGAACTAAGGCATTCATGTAAAAAAAATTCGAATAAGGATAAGTGTAAGTATATGAATCAAGACTTGAATTGAAGGGCATTGAATGCAATACTATACTATCAATTTAAATGCAGTGCAAAACTAAAAGTGTGAAGGAATGGGGTAGGGTGCGAGTGAAGTGCATGGTGGAATTGGGAATAAGGTCGATGTGAAAATGCTGGCATAAAGATTGCGAGAGGTGAATGAAAGCATCTTAGTGTTTAATGAGATGATAATTAGATACAAGTATGCGAAAAGGGAGAAAAATGCCCGCCGGATGGATGATGGTGAGTGCAATATACGTATATACTTCATGCGTGATAATGTTGTGTGATACTGATTACCTAAGATATTTACTTGCTAAGATACCTCCTAATTCTAAGACCACTTCTAGTCTATAGGAACTTTGGAAAGAACAACTAATAATTGATTATTGACATGATGATCTATTTCTAGATTCATATTTCACTGTCCTGCGAGCGGTTCTCATCGATACTCGCGACTGATGAATCAATTGATTAATTCACTACTTACTTTTTTACTATATTTTCTAAATCAAATTACGTCCAAAAAGTCACTTTCACAAGAGTTTTGGGTTTACCTAGCAATGTGATTTCATTTTGGATTCATCTAACTATATATGATTAGGTGACTTATATGTATGTTTCCAGTCTCATTATCTTAATGTATCTCGCAAGTATTTATCTCAAGCATATGTTATTCGTGGGTGAGAATGCTATGAAGAAATTATGATATTTCATCACCTATAAATTAAATAAATTAAATAGTGTTATTATACTATGAAATTTACTTGCGCTTTTATACTACAAAACTTATAAATTTATGTAACTGTGGAAATTAAATAAGATGGGTGACAAGCACACGACTCTTGTCACGAGTGTTGCCGGCCACCCACTTTTAGCATCCATAACTCCTTACAACTTGGGCTCTTCTCATAATAGATGTAATTTTCAACTTGTAAAATCTCGATAAGTGTGCTCTGATTTTGTTCCTATTTATAGGCGCCGACCAAGCTTCTAAAAGGTGGAGGTTGCTATTAACCGCTGGCGAATTGATTCTCCATCGTCCAATCCTATAGATACTAATTTCTAATAAATAATCAGGATGACTTTGACACGAATTGAGACTTGGATCTTTATCAATTCAACTTCTCTTCTTCAGACAGACAACTTGCCTCGCCAAGTTTCGCATCTCAATCAGCTTCTAAATCGCGACCATGCATCAGACAACCTGGCTCGCATTCGAACCTCCTTTCAAAACCCATTTCTTATTTTCTATTATTTCTCTTTATTTTGCATCAGAAACAATTCAAAACTACCAAGGCATATCAAATCGTACAAGAATGACTTAAAATGCATTTACCAAGGCATTTTGGCACATATTATGAAAATTTCAGCATAAAATCCCAAGATATACCGATAGAAATTATTGAAAATTATCTCCAAAATTAGTTATCAATATATACAAATGAAGAGTTCAAACGGGCTTGAAATGATATTTCTATCCAAAGAACACTGATGGAGATGGCCATGAAGTTGCGTGGCGTAAGGCATTCGGGGAGTATTTAAGAATACATCAACGAGTCTCGACCCTCTTGCTCGAGCTCTCCGACAAGTCTGAAGATAATCGATTGTTTTAAATCTTGGGCGTATTATAATTGTGGGTGGAACTCGAATTAAAATAGAGGAGTAAGGGTGGATACGGTTTGGATATTTACAGATATGTAGGTATTTGATATTCAAACCAAATCAAAGAAATATTCAAAATCGCAAACCATATTCAAACAGAAAATTTTGGTTTCAAAAAATATTTGGAGTATTTACAAATAATTTGAAATAAGTCGATTTGAATATATATGAATATATATATATTAAAAATAATTAATTATAATTAACTAAAAATATTTACAAATATTCTAAATTGAACTGAACCAGAATTAATCTTAAAATAATTATATTCAACAAACAACTAAAAATATTAAAAAATATATATAAATAATCAAATGCCAAAACATAATGCTACTAAAAAATATCCATAATATCATAAATACATTCATACCCCTAAACACATGCCTAATGCCAAACATACATTCAATTGTCTCAAAGCAAGTCGAAGAAGGCATAAACACATGCATATTCAAATTAAAATTCATATATCCACACGAAGATCCATAAAATCATCCACATCCATAATGTCATTAAGAGAAAAAATTCATAAGTCACTAAGTTATTTAAAATGAATATCCATAATAATTGTCGGTACATATTTTTGCTTCCGTAATGCCATTTTTTTAATAGTTCTTCACCCATCTTCCAATCAATTAAATAAATTCATAAAATATATTGAATAGTATTGTTGAGCACAAAAAAACAAATTAAAGTTTGAGCCCGAGAAAAGGAAAGGAGTGGGCCCAATGGTGGGCCAGATTTGGTTATGGTTTTATGTTTTAGGTGAGACGGTTGCTGAGGCCCAATTAATTGAATGGTCGGGTTGGAAGACGAGGGACCCATCCGAACATGGGCCTGAGGGTGGTTGGTTATGAAGAAAATGACCGGGATTATTGGCTGGTTGGTGCCTAGATCTGTGGCTAACCGCGTGTCGGCAAGGGATGAACAGGGGTAACCGACGGTTGTAACCGACAACGGTTCAATGCACAATCAAGGTAACTTACCTGGGAATGCTTCTGGATGGTTCAGATTGGTAACCGTTTTAGGAGCGGCTCTCGACGATTCGAATCAGTACGTACATAAGCGGCTCAAATGGGAAAGAGTAAGTATCTTCAATCAGACAAAATTTTAAAAATCTCATTAGGGGTGGGTCATCTTTATTTATCATTATTTTATACTCCCTATGTCCACCTCTGAGGGTCACATTTACCTTTTGCATCATTGTACTTAACATTAAAAATATCCTTATATTTTTTTAATTTTTTGTACAATGTCATTCTATTAGTATTATAAGACACTAATGGAAGTATTTTTGCAATCTTTTCTTAATTTGTACTACGTATTAATATAATAATTAATATTCAAATATCAACACGCAAAAAGTAAATAAGACTCTTAGAGCCCGACGGATGTAGTATTTTCTTTAGTTCTTTGTCTATCGCTTGAGAATTTATAATTCCAAGCTTTATTGCTCAAATTTGGAATATATTTTCAAATTTTACTTTTTATTGTTAAAATATCATCAACAAATTGGTGACCACAATGGGAGTCGAGGCAAAATTGCTAATCCTACGTCTAACGAAAACTATATACGACTCCGTTCCATTCGAATTGTTGCAAGGAACCTAATTGTGGGTCCCCAGTCTCAAAACATCAGCACAACTGTTGGAGCCACCACAAGGATTTCGTCGCCGACTCCGACTACTGGGGAATTCCTCAGACACCAGCACAAGTACTAGTGGAATGGTTAACGTAGGTCCAACAAATGAACAACCAAAAAATGGCAAGCATGCAGGCAATGTTGCATGATCAACAAAACATGATGCAAAATATGCTAGATCAAGTCCTTTCAAGGGTTACCTTGCATTCTGCACCTCCAGGATTGTCACCATCTCGCTTACAGGCAAATTTTGCAGGGCCATCTTTTGTGGACAACACTATTCTAAGCGCTACCGTCCCTAATATGGTAGAAAGGGGAAAGACGCCTCTTACTTTCCCTAACAACATTCCTCTGGGAGCAAGGACAGATCATTTTACAAATGTGCAAAGAGAGGAACGACTACGGGGATAAGCATATGATCCAACCCAAGTGCCGGATCAACATCAATTCAGACTGGACCCGGAAGATGTCGCACGCGTTCTGAGGGTTCATTTTGGTATGACTCTACAGGTTGCCAACTGACCTGCATATCAACGACCGTTCCCGGAGAGAATCAGTAATGAACATCCTCTTCCAAGGAATTCTCGGCCACCTGACTTTCACGCATTCTCGGGAGATGATGGTTCTTCTACTATTGAGCATGTAGGATGTTTCACGGCTCAGTTGGTGGAAATCGGTAACAATCTTTTTTATAAGTTGCAGTTGTTCAGTATATCACTGACCAAGACACCTTTCTCTTGGCTTTTCAACTTGCCACCTGGGCAAATACATACATGGGAAGGATTGGAAATAACATTTCATGCCAGGTTCTTCAATCCTATTCCAACAGTGTCATTAACCAATGTTTTGGAAATGAGGCTGATGCCAGAGGAACCTTCTGCACAATTTATTGAAAGGATCCGTTTGATGAAAGGCAGATGTTCGATTGTGATAGAGGAAAAAGAGATGATCAATCTCGTGGTCTGAAACATGCATTAACGGCTACGTAAAGCGCTAACCGGCCATGATGTTGAAGATCTTACTAGTTTAGTGTCTAAAGCAAGATGGTTGGAGTTGTTGTTTACGGAAAAAGATTAGAATTTTTTACGCAACAAGGTTCAACAAATGGCTAGCGTAAAGATGGAGGCATATATCTCAAAGGCGGATCCAATGGTGGAAGCGGAAGAGATGGCGGCATAAATAGTCAGTGAGAAACTATACGTTTGCCCAGAGTTGAAGCCCATCCCAAGAACAGAAGAGAAGGATCAACCAATTTTTGACAACGCCAAAGCTGATGAGATCTTTGACATCCTCTTAACGGATGGGCAAATCTGGATTCCTAAAAAGTAGCAATTGGCAACAAAAGAGGAAATCAAAGAAAGGCCCTACTGCAAATGGCATAATTCCTTCACTCACAGTACAAGTCAATGTACACATTTCAAAAAGGAAATTCAGAGGGTCATCAAAGTTGGACGCTTCAAATATGTCCCCTTAGGAGTGGAACAATAGTCGTTCCCTAAAGTGACGATGGCCACAATTGGAATTGCTCCCCATAAAAGACTACAAAGGAAAAAATATATAAAGGAAAACTAGAAGGAGGAATTCAAAATCTTTGAAGGCCGGGTTGCTGAGAAGTGGGATCGTTCCGACAGAACGTACGAGGTCAAACTCAAAGATCAGGTGTTGGTGCGAGGCCGGCCAACAAGGAAGCCTTATTTGGTCAGTGATCAATGGAGTTGAAATAGGAAGCCATTGCCAGTGAATATTGATCCTCAGTTTCCATGTATGAATCGTACTCAGATTTGTAATGCTAAACATAGATATGCCACCAGACATAGTCTTCGTACTAATGATAAGGGATCCTCGGCGTCTGAACTGAGGATCCGGCCCGAAACCGGGATCCGAGTATCTTTGGATACTGTAATAAATTATTCGATTTATAATAAAACATCTATTATTCGATTCACCATCTCATTTTTATCAATCACTTTGCTAATAAATTATTTTTTCCAAATCGATTTATCTAATATTTCTCTATAATAAGTTTTTATTTCACAAAATAGAAATAATAATTCTTATTCTCAGATGAATTCTCTTCATCTATAATTTTATTCTTTACTATCATTCATCTACAAATTAATTTTCCGTATGCTCACACCTAAAAATCTAACAAATCATTTGTATTTAATTGGATCCACCGACTCTCCGTTACAATCTATGTGTATTTATACTCTTTGTTTATTAGTATTTTTATTGTATTACACTCGGTCAAGAGGATGTACCTTCCATTCATGATTGAGAAGAAATGACAATGATAATATGCACCATATCAAGTTTTGCCACTAGTGTGAAAACATTTTCAAAATTTGCCCTATGTCACTAAACGTACCCCTTCGCATGAGTCCTTCCTTGTGCTTAACCAAATCGCCATATGAGTTTCTTTTTAGCTTGTATACTAATTTTATATCCATGGATTTGTGTCCTCGTAGGAACTCAACAAAGCCCCATGTTGCATTTTTCTCGATCAAGTTGATTTGCTTGGCCTTTATTTCCAATCAGCTTGTCCAACAACTTCACGGTAGTGAGATGACTACTCTATGTCAACCAAAAACAAATTATTCATCGATCTTGAAGATCCAATCTTTGAGCATTGGTACTACTAGAGCTTCTTGTTGATGGAATGGGATTAACCATTGTGACACTCTGGCCCGCAAACCAAGCAAATCCGAGCATGTCGAGATTGCAGACTGACCCCATCCTCAAATTATTCTAGATTAAGCACGCTTAAATCTATAGTTCTTTCAGTAGAGCTTCCAAAAAAAAAATGTGCACATTGTTGACATGAATAATATATTCAATCCATTTAACTTATATTCAACCTCAGATGGTTTGGCACTGACTCATCCATGGGAGTTGGCCTAGCATCAGCCCAACTCCGGGGGTATTACAACCATAGATGGTGTGAACAGGTCATTCACGAACGATCCTTCTTTGTGCTTGCATGCCTTGCGTGTAAGCATGCCTCTACACCTAGGACTCAAAGGGCTTGTTGCATTATTTCCAAGGTTACTGGGAGCTTGACTTTAACCCACACATATAACTAGCTTTTGTTGACAACAAAGTGTAGGGTCTGCACCTGCATTTCAACTCCAATCAATATTTTCTTCGAACTTGACATCTTGAGTTACATGGATCTAATAACCTCATAGAGGATCTTAGAGACAGTCTGTAAACCTCCTTAACACCCAATTACACACAACCACCTGACTTTGATTGTCATGCTTCCTTCTTATAATGTGGTGTCGTCACCTTTACATGAACAGCACAACCAAACACCCATAGGTTGGAAAGATTTGGCTTCTACCAAACCAAGTCTGGAATACTGTATGGTCCGGTCCCTGTGCCTCTCGATTTCTTCTTCTTAGAAAAATTTGGTGAACTATATTGAGATAAGTTCACCTCAATCATCGGTCTATCTTGAATCGGTGTCCACTTGCATCCTTTACTTTGTGCTGGAATTTCTTGAACGTGGCATATGTTTGATCCTTCAATCCGATTACAAATATCTATCCATCATGAATAATCATCAACAATAAGCATAAAAGAAATGATTACCAACTAGTTTTGATAGAATGATATGACCACATAGGTCGGCGTGTGGCATATTTGTTTGATAGTGTGCCTACAATCATTGTTGTTTTTCAAGGGACCATCCTTGATATAACTTGTTCGAGTGTTTGACTAATGATACTCCCAACTATCTTTTTTTTTTTTTTCCTGCCAATTTTCTTAAAGAGCCAAAATTGACATGTTTGAGCCGAGTGTACCGCATCCAAGCCTAATATGAATATCGTCCATCTTCTTTTCTATCAATAACTTTTGATTGAAAGTTTTTCTCGAATCCCTCATAACTATGGAATTTTCCAGACTACTCATTTCCATGAGTAAGGAAACAAAATATTTTATAATATTGATTGCGGACAACTGTAGAAATTCTCGTTTTGAATATTTAGAAAATCAAATAATTATTAAATATTTATTTTATTCTCAAAACAGAATTATGGTGAGTGAGATTATATGTCACATAATTATGTGTCGAACAAAGTTGTGAATTCGGATTAGATGTCAAACCGAGTTGGTGAGCTCATGGGTCGGATAGAGAAATTCGGAAAAACTCTATTCATATCAAACAAATAAGTCATATCTTAAAATTGATTTTCATATCCAAATTTGAGATCATATCGTATGAGATTTGACTCTTGATATCATATATAATTCTAGATATGGGTTATACATTATGTCTAGAGAGAATCCCCCAACCGTCCCTTTTCGTCAGGTCTTTTGCTTGCGATGCTACTTCAAAAGGATATAAGCTATTTTACCTTTGGAAATGATACATGTACACCGGAGCACTACCGGCTATATTTTACTCTGCGGGAAGAGGTCTTCCTCGACTCTGCTTCTTTTCTATTGCCTCATTATCTCCCATTTTTGCCAACAACTTTGAATGTTGGAAGCGATTTAAGATATATGCCTCATCCAAAAAAACTCAACTTACCATATATATCTGTAAAGTAAAAAATTGATTGACACGAGGTTTACTTTAACCAGTTGTTCAAACTCTTTTGTCTCAAACCTATGACTGCGTCATTGTGTCAGGTGATAGGGACCTCTATGCTAGCCAAAGTTGCGCTGAAGGTTGTTAGTGGATTGGAAAAAAAAAAGAATACGGAAAAAAGAAAGATAGATTTGGAGTAGCCATAGGTTAGAATAATTTAAACTTTAAATTTTTTAATTTAAATAAATTTATTTTTTATTTTCAGTATAAATTAAATATTTATTTTTACAAATTTGAATGATTATTTATATTTTCTTAACAAATAAATATTTACTTTGAAATTAAAATTAGTATCAAATTTTAATTACAAAAAATTGAAATTAGAAAATTTGGAAAAACCTTTAAAAAAGTAAATTAATATAAACCGAAATTTTTAAATTGGAACCGACCGTTTGATAGCGTAATCCAAACCGTCAGACAATACGGTTTCTAACTGTAACCACAGTCCGAACTCCTTGGGGAAGTGTACGGCTTCGGCAGCATTCGATGAGTGAAACTGGAACGAAATTAATCTCTCTTCTCATTTCCTTTCCTTATTTATTCAAACCGTTTATACAGCGACAAACGTACATACACTATAAATGCTACTTGAGATTAGTATTATTGCATACATAAGTTGGAAGGAAGGAAGCAAGGAAGCAATTAAGGAAGGAGTGACGAGAAAGATCGAGTGGAGAACCAATTCTAGAGACGAGGTCGAGGGGGATCCGGAGTGGATAATTCTTGTAAGAAGAATTTCTTGAAAGCCTCAAGGTGTCGATCCTGAAGACACACCTTAACATCAATAGATTTATTAATGGATGAGTTTGAGTCTGAGTTTCCTTTTCCTGGAAGGATGACACACTCCCCTTCATGGCCGTAGTTGACAGGGGACATATAGAACTCCCTCCCCCACCCGAAATCGACGTCCCCAAACACCCCGCTCAGCCAACTCGTCACCAGAACAGTCGGCACTCTGTGCGCCGCGGCCTTTCCGTCGTCGTCCTGAAAGCAGCTCAAGTCCTCCACACTCTTCAAGTAAGCAGCAGTCCTCGTCAGGTACTCCCTGTCCACTTTTCTGATCGCTTCCCGCAACTTCCCGGCGGCAGAGCTCAAGGTGTCCGTGGCAGTGCCGGCGCAAGCCGCCACCACATCCAGCACCCCGTTCCCCACGTACATTTTGGGCAATCCCATCTGCCTCCTGAAATCGACGGGCACGCTCACCCTCGTGGCCTTGCACTCCCACGCCCGGCACGCGCACCTCCATATATGCACCGTGATTGCCTCGAAACGAGTGAACAACGGCGCGCCATTTCCGCCGCCCTCGTTCGCTTTTCTCCTCAATGCTTCCACCTGGAACTCCGTCATGCTAATCGTCACCATGCTGCACGGCATCAACAATGGCGCTGGCGATGATGAAGAAGATTCGACGCCGCCGCCCGCTTTGAGCTCAAACTCCGGCGGAATGGGCATCGGCATCAAAGACTCGCTCCTCCCGAGATTGACCAAAAGAGATCGATCGATGGCGGGGTGCCCCTCTAGCGGTTCGCCTCTGGCAAGCCTTCCCCACTGCCTCACAAACTCGGTGCTGCTCCGTCCATCGAGCACGGCGTGCGACAGCGCGAAAGCGAGCGTGACCCCGCCGCACGCGAATCTTGTGATCTGCGCAGCAGCGAGGGGGAAGGTTTCGAGGGTGGTGGCGGCGATGTCCAAGTGAGGTGTGAGATGGAGGTAATCCGACTCGCTCACCTCATCCATAGTAATGGATAAGTCTGCCTCGGCATCCACCAGCAAAGCCCCGGCGCCGTTGCAGACAATCTCGAAGCGGCCGCCCCCGAGCGGGCGGAGGCGGCCGGCCAGGGGGTAATAAGGGACCAAGAGTTGGGCCAGAGATGCTCGGAGGGTGTGGAACATGATGTGCGGTGGAGAAAGCCAATTTTGAGAAGGCCTGTGGAAATGGATGGAGGGAACATGGCCCAGGTTTCCTACAAGATCGAAATCAGAGAGGGCTATGCTGCTGCTGCTGCCTCTACCTAATTCGGCTTCAGCAGGTTGCACTAGAATCGAGCTCTTCACCCTCACCCTCAGCTTCTTCGCCATGTTTCATTTGCAGGTGCTTAATTGCTTTTGCATGCTTTTATACACACAACTACAACTCAGTGGGACCCCATTGTCAACAGGGGGGCCATCTTGGCCAAGGAATTAAGGAGTATAATTTAAGCACTCTTTCTTTCTTTCATCTGCTGTGAAATTAAAAGTTCAATCAGGTAGGTGTCTAGTAAGGGATGGCTTGGTGCCGGTGCTGGTGCTGGTGCTGGTGCTGGTGCTGGTGTGGGAAGTGGATTTGTAATCGTCAGATTATAGGTTTAAACTCCGACACTTTAGATTTACCTGTCACATATGATTTATTGAGTATAACTTATCTGTTGGACATAGTTTACAAAGTATTAAGTTCGATCGAATATTTAACCAGTGCGCACCTCAGATAACGATTGCCTGCGGATTCCACTGTCATATAAAAAAAAAAAAAATGAAAAAGTTAATGTGTGTGAGTAAAAAAAGAATAGCTAGTGTTGCCTTGGACCCAATATGTTTATATATATATATATATATTAATATTAGTAAAATCTTTATAAAAACATATTTAAGCTTGATAATTATATAAATAAATAAAATTTGTATTTATTTTTTAAATAAATTATTTTAATATTAATTTATTTTTTAAAATTAATTTTACTAATTATGTATTTTTTTGTTAGTATAGTGTTTGCTTAGTATTTATAGTTTTGTTATGAGAGATGAGAAATTATGAAGTAATATAATATGATATTTTATATATTTTTGTTATTTTTATTTTATTGTGCATATTTATTATCTATCAATTTTTATAATATTTTCACAAATCATGTATTCTATAAATATTGAGTAAATATATTTTTTATATAACTATATTAATATATATATATATTTAAAAATCGATTAGTTTAATTTTAGCTTGGGCTCTATAAAAGTAAGGAATGTAAGTAGAAGTCTACAACGACGTCAGCGTCTGTGTGTCTAGTCTACATGCAATATTGGATGAAATTGTTCCATGCATGGTTATGAAGTATGGACACACCAACCCTCCCTTGAAACTCAAATACCTAAAATTTAGGGACTACTTCATTCAATATAATATATAGACAGGCCTCAAATGCATGCATGGTTTGGTTGGTGAAGTTCATCGGAATTAGGAAATCCAAATGGGGAACTGTCGACAACTTTTTTATTTGTACGTTTCTTTTATGCCATCCAATAATATTTTGGTTCATTTAATTTAGTTTTGTATACACATATATAGGTGATCATTCGCATTTTTTGTTCGGATTTCGCTAAATTTGAACTGAATCGAAAATTTGAATTATTGACAAAAGCTATTAATCCGATCCAAAATAATCGAAATTCAAAATCCGAAAATTCGAAATCCGAACTAAAAAATTCGAACGGAACCGAAAAATCTGAAATTTCTACATTTTTTTATTTTTAAAAATTTTATATTTTATTTCATAATTTTATAATTGTTTTATAATATTAAATATATATAATAAATAAAAATAAGTATATTAAAATCTAATTAATAATTTTTAGTTCTTATTTTTATTAAAATGTTATATTTTTATTAAAATATTAAAAATATATTCCCTCCGTCCCAAAAGAGACGTCTTATTGTGTGTTGGCACGGGAATTAAGGAATAATAGTATTTTTTTAATTGAAAGTGTGTATAAAATATAATGTAAAAGACTAAAATCTTCTTTCTTTTTTAAGGATTTTAAAAAGTAGATTAGAGTAATAATTATGGGTAGTTTGGAAAAGTGAGAATAATTTTGTTATAAAGTGAGGACGACCATTATTAAATAAAGAAATAAGACAATTGTTTAGGGACGGACAAAAATGGAAAAATAAGACAACTCTTTTAGGACGGATGGAGTATAATAATAAAATATATTAAATATTATATTTCGGATTTGTTCGAATTTTTAGTATATCCATCCAAAAATCCAAAATTTATAAAATATTCAATCCGAACCAATCCGAAAATCCAAAAAATTCGACCCAAATTTTAAATTTTGGTTTGGTTCAAATCGAATTTTCGAATTTCGGATATTTTATTGACGATTTTTTTGTATAATTTTCTATTTTTTTATTTGAAAATTTTTTTGGTGGGTCCCACCCTTTAATTTACTCTTTACGTTTCATATATATTTGTCCACATTACTTTGTATAAAAGTATAATTAATAAGTGTAATTAAGTAATGTAATAGTAAAAATATTTATCGTATAATAAAAATAAATATAGATTAAGATTATAATACTAAATAGTTTAACTAAGATTAAAAAAATTATAAATTATAAAATTTAAAATATGATTAAAATATATAATTATATTTAAAAACATAAGAAATTATATAAGACGAATAAAAATGATAAAAATTGTTTTTATGATTTTCTATTCTTTTCCAAAAATTGTTTGGTGGGTCCCACCATTTAGTATATATTATTATTAATATTATACTTTATTATTATTGCTATTTTCGTTTTGGTATATTTTTTTTATTTTAAATATAGTATAATTTTAAATTAAATAATTAATTAATATTCTCTCCAATCCAAATATTCTACGATTATCAAATTATCATATTTAATATATTCACTTGGATTCTCAAAAAACAAATATTGTACTATATTTAAGACAAAAGAAATATTATATAAATAAGTATTATTTTCATATTTAAATAAAAGTATTTAATAAATAAAGATAAATATTTAATATAATATTTTTTAAAATATTATATAGTAATATCAATGTAAATAACTCTAAATTTGAGGTTATTTCTAATATATATAATAGAATTTACACTTATTTAAAAAATATTAATATTGTGTTTGTTGAGTGTTTTTAGTTTAAATATTTTTTAGATTTAAAAATATATAAATAATACTATCTTCATCCTATATAAAAGGCTCATTTGAGATTTCCTTAGTAAATTAAGAAATAATGATATTTTATTGGTTAGTGGAAGTAGGTAAGAGGTTTTGATATTATTGTCCTTCAATTTTATTTATAAAATAATTATATGTGCAATGGTATGTTTGTAATTTAAATAAAAATTAAAAGTATTTTGATACTAGTTTATGATTAATTTTACTAAAAAAATATAAATGAATACTTTTGAGTAGAACATATGAAAATGATAAAAAAATGTACTTTGAGTTAGGACGGATGAAGTATAAGTAATGATGTATAATGTTAAATTATTGATTTTTGTGATTGGATATATTAGGTGAATGTATTTATAAAGTATGTATGGGAAAGTTTGATTAAAATTTCCATTAGATAAATTTACTTGCAATTCAGTTCCTATTTGAAATCAATTAGACTACAGTCTCTAATTTATGGATTAGATATGTTATAACTCTTCAATTTGTATTTTTCTCTCAATTAACGTTGTATACACAACATGTACTCGGAATAGGTTGATTAATACTTCAAATGTTGTATACTTACATTATTTCTCGTTCTACCTCCATTATAACCGTATATACTTCTAATTAAATATCGTATATCTTTTTTTCGCGAATTAAAAAATAAAAACAGATACCACGATTTACCAGGGGTTGAAGCAGGAAACCTCTCATAACTCCTTCACGTAGATTTTAAACCTTACCTCTTCCGCCATTAAATAATATAAAAACTATTATATATATATATATGTTTCACTCATCGGCGGTGCTTCGAAACAGAATCTAAGCGCCACCGCCACCGTTGTCCTCCCCGACCATCGCTGTCAAATGCCCAAAATCAACCGTGGCAGTCTCGCGTGAGAGTTGTATAGCGTGCGAAGAATGAGAACAGGTAGGTTAAGACTTGCTCAATTGGTTTCGAAGAACCGCGGGTTTCAAATTGTAGTTCCGGTTCAAACCGGAATCGTCATCGAACCAAACTGTAACCTATCGGTTCGAAACGTAAGTGGTGGGCTAAGAAGAATAAGTAAAAGAAAGAAAGGAAAAAGGATAAAATTGGGAAAGAAGGAGACAGAGGAAAAACTTGTGCGGGCGGCCGTTTAAATTATTATAGTATTTAAATTATTATAGTATTGGTTAGGGCAAAAAAGATTTATTATTATAGTATTAATTTTTTATAAAATGAAAATAATATTAATATTAATAAAAATAAATATTTATTAATAATTTATAATTTAAATTATATAAATTTTTATTAAATAATTATAATTATATTTAATTTAAATTATATTAATATTTAATACCCTAATATTTTTTATTATTAATTTTTCATTTAAATTTATTATTTCAATTATTTTTATATACAATAATAATTTAATTAATCAATTATTATTTAATAATTTTTACACAATAAATAAATAATATCTAAATAAAATTAAGATTAAAATTAATTATTTTTAAATAAAATTTAAATTTAAGAAAATAAAAAATGAAAAAATAATCTAAAATATAAATAATTACTCACGGAATTATTCCATCGGTAATTACTCATAAAGTTATATTTTTTGAATAATTACATAAGTAAAATAAATACTCAATTCTATATGTATTACAGACGGAATGAAATCATGTTTGTAATTCCGTTCCTAATTACTCACGTGAGGAATTCTGTAAGTAATTTTGTTCTTTATTACTCACAAAATTATTTTCGTGAGTAATTGTATGAGTAATCCAGACATATTACTCACGGAAACAATTTTGTTAATAATTTTCGCTAGTAATTTGCTCTTTTTTTGTAATATTTTGAAATGAACGGTGGAGATTTAATATAAGTTCTTGTAAGTGAATGGACGAGATTTATTTGACCGGATGTATAAATAAGTGGATGAATTGGATGAATTTTCTTCATCCCAACTTCTATATTTTTAATCTCTCTCTCTAAATCTCAGTCTCTCACTCACTTACAATTATTTAATATCTCAAGTGTTAAGTTTATAGTAATATTTTAATATTCTACTAATCTACTATAGTATTTTATTTTAGATAAACCTTAGTTAATAGTTATTAGTTGAATTTTTATTTATTTGTATTATTTATA